CTAGACTCCGATCATGCATTGGTTCATGCTAAGATTTGCATGCTATTCGTAGGATCACCTAAGCGCGCTCTCTACCGCCGGACGTCGCAAATCTACAAAACCCTGCGATTTTAACCAGGTACCAAGCCTCACTGTCAACCTTGCTTGTCTCAACCATCGACGGTGAGCTCGATTCGCAGTGGACGCATATCAATGATGCCTTAGTTTCTGCCAGTATCGACACTTGTGGTGTTACCCGTCACCCACCGAAGCATTGGATTTACGCCGTCTCCTCGTCGCTGATGGAAAAACGCCGCTTGATTCCGTCGGATTCCAGGCACAGTGACGAACGCCAATCCCTGGGTCGAGAGTTGCGCAAGAGTTTGCGAATGGACCGCGAAGCTTGGTGGTGTGAACGTGCTAGGGAGATGGAGCTTGCTGGTCTCTATGGTAATACCAGAAAACTTTTCCATCTCATTCGATTCACCGAAGGTGTTCGATCTGGTATAAGTGAAACAATATGAGAAGAGGATGGACCTTAATCACCAATCTTCAACGACAGTTGAAGCGATGGGCCGAACATTTTGGCTCGCAGTTTCGTTGGCCACCAGCTCCATCTGCTACCTCTGGCGATCGCGATGGGGCCGAGTGGTCTACCCCCACAGATCCTCCCTCTTACCAGGAACTCGAGCAGGAGCTCCAGCACATGAAGCGCTATAAACCTACCGGCCCTGATGGTCTTCTTCCAGCTCTATTTAAAGATGGTGACGCATCGCTGGTCCGAGAACTCACCGCTTTGTTCTCGAAAATCTGGTCGAAAGAGAAAATTCCATCATGTTGGAGTGAATCGATAGTCGTCCCCATCTTCAAAAAGGGCTTGCGCATAACCTGCTCCAACTACAGAGGCATAAGCTTAGTCCCCGTCGTTTGCAAGCTGCTGGTGTCCATCATACTTGGCAGGCTAACCCCAAACCGCGAATCGTTGCATCGAGAAGAAGAAGCTGGGTTTCGCCCTGGACGCGGCTGCATCGATCAAATCTTCACACTCCGCCAGATCCTCCAGCTCCGCCATGTGTATCAGAGGCCAACAATTGCTGTGTTTCTGGATATCCGTGCAGCCTTCGATTCCGTCGATCGTACAGTACCGTGGCACTGCCTACTGAGGAATGATGTCCCAGAGAAGTTCGTCTCCATACTGCGCGCCATCTATAGTCTGACCTAGGGCAAGGTTAGGGCTTATGGCAAGCTTTCGCCTATCTTTGTGGTCTCCAGTGGAGTTCGACAAGGATGCCCTATCTCTCCGTTCCTATTCAACTTTGCCATTGAGGATGTCCTGAAGAACGCTCTAGGCGATTCGTTGAACGCTGGTGTTAAGCTCCTCCCAGATAGTCGAGTTGTTGATTTGGATTATGCTGATGATATCGTCTTGCTGAGTGACGATCCACATGTCGTCCAACTTGCACTAAACCGCTTGGCGATTAAAGCATCAAAGTATGGTATGTACTTTACGCCATCTAAATGCAAGGCTCTCTTCCAAGACTGGCAGGTGCCTCTGCCTGCACTCACTCTTGGTGGTGAAACACTGGAGGTTGTGGAGAGCTTTGTCTACTTGGGAATTTACATCACTGCTGGCGAGGATGTTGGAGACGAGATTTCGATGCGCATCTCGAGAGCACGCCTCGCTTTTTCTAGGCTGAGGCACTTGTGGCCTCCCCATGACATCCGTCTCTCCATCAAAGGGCGGGTCTAGTGTGCAACTGTTCGTGCTGTACTGTTGTACGGATGCCAGACCTGGCCCATTCGTAAAGATGACTTGCGCAGGCTATCCGTCTTAGAGCACCGCTGTCTGCGGTCCATTGCCCGTGTGTGGTGGCAGCACCACGTAAGCAATGTGGAAGTTAGACAGCGCGTCTTGGGATGTGGAAGCCACTCGCTCGAGGAGCTCATCTCACTGCATCAACTGCGGTGGCTGGGACACGTACTGAACATGCCTGTTCAGCGTTACCCCCGTCGTGCGTTGTTTGCGGTTGCGAGACAGAGCTGGAGGAGACGGTCTGGTGAACAGCCTACAACATGGAGAAGCCGCATGAAAAAGCTGACTAAACAGTTGGCCTCGGCCGGTTACTGTCGACTACCTGGTTGGGGTCCGAGAGATGCGGATACTTGCTGACTGGAGACCTTGGAAGTCATAGCTCAAGATCGATGTCAATGGCAGACGTGTGCATCGGTGTGTTGCGGTATCCCTTCTTCCACCCATTAAAAAAACAAACTGAAAAATTGCAAAAACTGTAAGTGGTAAACTAGACAAAAAGCAGCATTTGTTGTTGTTGCTCTTTTCTTATTATTCTTCGTACCGAGTCTGCAATGCAGATACAGAACTACTCACGTTTTGAGACACAAGCAAATGCGAATCGTCCACATTTACCTCCATAAGGAACGCATTCTCTGACCCGCAACCTGGGGACGCGCCCTTCAGTGTACAGTTGTACCATGTGATGTATATTCTGTCCCTGAGCAACAACTCATGGGATGACTGACGAAGGTGACATCACCAGCGTTTGTATCGAGTGGATCCAGATGCGGGCATTGAGACTATTGCGTTCGCCACTTGCGTTGCTGCTGCCTACTGTTTTGGTGCCCACCTGCGGTTCTGCTGCCTACCTTTCGTTATTTTTGTTGCTTATCCAACCGTAAGAACAGAAGTCAAACTCAGGCAATTGGAGTGTATTATATGGAACGCAATGGTCGTACTTTTACGTCATCCAAGCTTCTAATTAAGAAAGCCTCGAACTCCTCCTCATCGGCTTCCTGGCCTCAACCAGTGTGAACGCATTTCGTTTTGCTTTGGTTATCACGTTTGGCCATTTGTGCGTGCTAGGCTACGGCTCCCGTTCATTCAGTTGACACCCACTCGGGGTCACCAGTCACTCATATAGCACCTGTATTCCATATTTGGCGCAACGTCTTTCACACGATCGGTGCTCACACGACTTTGACAACCACCCATGACGCATACGCGATCCGTTTTTCACCGTCTGATAAGGTGTTTGGCATCGCGACACATCGGACTGTCTGCCCGACGTAGTGCAGTAACGCCGAGCGTGGGTATTCGCTTCGCTTGGCTGCTTAATACCTCTCCTTTTGACTGCGACGTGTATTTTTCCCACTTGGTTTTGATGATAGCTTCTTGCCTTTGGGCTGATCTGTAACCATCTTGGTTATGTCCTTGTTCTGATTGACTTGGTTGGTAAGTCTTGCTCGGCTTATGCTTTTGATTGTATTCCACTTGGAACATCGTTTCCATTTTCCTTATTAATTATATCTAGCAGCATTTCTTACATAAGTTTGCGGGTTCTTGCCGTCGCTGAATGTTACCGTGGTGTGGTCTTAAGTGATTCACGTGCCTGATCCACCTTCTACTTCCGACCATAATCTCATCGATAATCTTGTCTCTCTTGCCGATGAACATTCCACCTGACCGGGCGTTCGAGGCTAGGAATTTTCGTGCGCAAGTCGAGTCACCAATTTTAAACTTACGGAACCTGCTTGCCTGCTCTTCTGTCGTTTGTCCGTTGTTTTTCCTCGTTACCGGGGTTATGGCTGTCAATACTAATTTTCTTGACTTGCCATTGCGGCAAATACTGTTGATTGACTGATCGAGTAAGTGTAACGCGTTCATCCAATCGGGTCCCAATAGACTCCATCCTGGCTGATCTGCCACCAAGCAACTGGTTTGAATGCGTTGATCCTGGAAAGTAACCTCACTGTGTAACTCTCTAAACAATGTCAGGACACTTTAAATATATATATATATATATATATATATATATATATATATATATATATATATATATATCGGCCAGTGCCAACAAGTGAGACACGACACTTATAGGTGCAGAATAGTGTTCGCCCCGGTTGGAGATTTATGCGTCCAATATCCACGACTCGTCAGTTTCTCGAACATCATCGCCACTACCAGCCTTACGGTCGCTGCCTTCCTGAACATTCGTGCTACTATAATTCGGACACTATATCTCAAAAGTGAGAGCATACAACAAGCTTTTTACACGCTCCCTTTCGCCAGTGGTGTGCGACAAGGATGTCCTATGTGTCAATTTTGTCCCAACCTTGTTATCGAAGACGTCCTGACGTGAATCGAAGAGTTTTGGCCTCTAGCTCCTTCGAGGTAATCGCGTAACCGATCTATGCCTTGCTCGGTGACGACTCATGTTATGTAATCGACTGTGATCGGCTAGTGGTTGAAGCGTTCAGATATGTCATGTTTGGCGCCATACAAGTGTAAAGTGCAGTTAAGGGATTGACAGATATCTCCTACATCAGTTCACCAACAGAGACAAACAAGCCTAACACCCGGATAATTCTAGCTACCTAGGGAGCTGTTTGTCTACATAAGGAGTTGTATTTCTGCCGACGGCAGTAGGAATCCCTTCGTGATGTGAAAGCCCTATCGGATTTTGTCAACTCGAGGCATTTGTGACGTCATCGCGACATTTCGCGATCTTAAAGGATAGAGTGAATAATACGACTTTCGCTTGGCCGATTACCAAACATGGGCCAAATACTCCCACAGACGTCCGTCTCCAAAACGTATGGGCCGGCTGTACCATAGTCGAGTTTCACATATTATCACAACGAATAACTATTATATATAGGATTACGGTAGATATGATGGAACTGAGGGACCAGGACCCAGGACGTTGAAATATATGACTGAACTCAACCCAATTACACCGCCGACGTCTGCGAACAACGTGCGTTATAACGGCTGAAGAGTCAGCGTTGGTTGGGATGAAGCGACCACTAGGTGAAAGGAATGCGGTACAAAGACCCAACTACGACAACAGAGACCGTTGGTGATGTGGAAAATGGAACATTTTAAGAAATAGGTTGTCCCTGTGTAGTGAGCAACATAACATGAGAAACAGTGCATTATTTGTTCGACCGAATACACGAGATATTGTAAACCAGAGTGAAAAGTATGTAATCAGCCACACACTCACCAAGATGAACTGAGTTGACGTGGTTGTGTAAAGTACCCTTCTGAGCAAAGGATTTGTCGCAGAGCTCACATGCATGGGGGCGCTCATCTGGGTAACAAAGAAGAAGGTTGCTAGATGCAGATGGAGCATTCAAGGAAAACACCCACAGAATAGTTGGTAGTTTGTTAGATGTCAAAAACAATAAAGTCCGGGGAAATAATGAGATGACTCAAACAATAAGAGCGCCGTCACCCAAAGTACCAATCAGACGCCTCAATTTCAGGATGGAAGTGAAGACAATTACCAGAAACGACTGTTAACGGTCGAGGTAATGCGTTAAAACAAATGCCGAGATGCACGCAAAAAAGCCTCAATAAGCGTTTCCGTTAACAGCATACTTTTTTTTAAATGAATTACTTGAGGACCATCTAGCCCTTCCAACGACAGTCTACCTGTGAAGGATGCACAAATCATCTAGTCCATTTGAAGCATGACTAGACTCCAATTTCTGAACGTCCAACAAGAAGAATTTAACACCTGACAGCGGTACTCGTCTCACAGATATACGGCAGTACAATAATATTAAATCCGTTGGGTTAATTGAGGATAGGATAACATGGAAGGCACACACGGGTTCAACACAGTGGTTGTCAGCCAGTAAGTGACAGGCGATTGATGAAGCTGGTTGTTCGTACGGAGCTTCAATTAGCTTCCTTGCCTGCGCATACGGAGTGATAGACGCAGACATTTGCGAAGGCTGTTTACTAATCCACGCCGGTATGTGCTCCACGACCCTCACCCTCTATTGTCGTTCTGTTATGCCCACCTATTCGGCGTTGCAAGAACATGTGAAGTGGTATAGGACGTGTGAACGGTTGGACAGTGACAGAGGGTGTTTAACAGACGGAGTAGGGATACGATTCGTGGTGCAGATCAAGCATCGTTACAGGAAGACGCAGAAAGCTTCAAGAAAGGACGGATATCCAGCCGAAATCTACAGGTCATGTCTCAACCCTTATTGGCCATTTTCATGAGCTCTTCTGCACTACATGGGAGATCGAAGTCTGCTTTTCCTCGTGAAGTACCTCAATATTACTGCCACTTTCCAAGGAAGTTGACTGAACTGTGTACAGCAATTATCGCGGTATTAGCCTAATCGATGTGACTGCAAAAATCGCACGAAGCTTGCTTTCCTGCTTTGCCAACGACAGGAACTTGCGAATTCGTCAAAATCAAAGTGGCTTTCGTCCAGAGAGAGGCTTCACTGATCAAACGTTTACTGTACGTCGGGTACTCGAACACCGCGGACTGTTCCAACAGCCCACGTTTGTTTGCTTCGTTGATTTTCGAGCTGCTTGTAACGCAGCTGATCCTGAAGCACTGCGGAGAATCCGACTTGCCGACAGCGTGCCAGTTAAACTGGCTAAGTTGATGAGCCCATGCTACCGTTGCAGGATTCGGGTCTATGGAGAAACGCAACATCAGTACTGAAGTCCGGCAGCGTTGCCCACCATATCCAGAGCTATTCAACTTCGTGATCGACTGGGTTATGCATCATGCCCTTGAGGCCTAGCGTGGTGTTCAAGTTAGCCCTGACTTCTAGCTGTCAGATCTGGAATTTGCTGAGGATATCGGCATCTTTGCAGATCTTACGTCACTAGTCATTGCTAAATCGGGTCGATCAATCAGCCTCTACGATCGGCCTAGAACTTAACATCAGCAAGACGAAGTACTTCGCATCGTCATCCACCCGTCGCTCTACTTACATGGATAACCTATCGAGTCTGTTCCTGAATTCAAGTATCTTGGACCAATTATCCTCCCGAATGATAAGGCCACATTCGGAATATTGACAACATCAGAACAGTCTTGTTACAACTGAGAAACACATAGTGGCAAAGTGCGGATATTAGACTGAGAACGAAAATGTCAGTATCCTCAGTAATCACACGAGACATTTTACTCTATGCTTGCGAAACATGACCGATGCGATCCATAGACATCCGGAAGCTGGAAGTCTACGACGATTGGTGTCTAAGGCCTACCTTAACGAAATGGCATGACCGTATCACCAATGAGGAAGTTTGTAAGCGCTGTTACGGTCTTCTGAAGCCCTCAGCGCACATCTAACGCCGCGCTTCGGTGGATCGGTCACGTCCTCCGCAGACTAGACACTGATTTCACTAAGGCCGTGGTTTCGCCCTCCCCTCGTCAGGGTTGGTGTCGTCGCCTTGGTGGTCAATTGAAAATGTGGCTCGCTGCAGTTACATCGGATGGCGATCTTCTGGGACTCCATGTTGTGCATGGTGCTCGTCACTAGAGAAATCACTGGATCCGTATTTGCCTAGAGCTTGCCGATGACCGTCAGTCAGCGGGCTCCAAGGTAGATCTCCTTCAGTAATTGCGTTTTTTAGGGGGAACCAACGCCTCCATAATGATCATAAGCTCAAACCACGGAAAGCTATGAGACTTGATCCAGACAAGTGCACATGTTTTGATCAGCCTTTCAAATCGTGAGACAATCTCGTTTCGATTGGCCTTTGCACCTCAGAAAACGTTCCTGTTTCCGGTCAATCTCGCTTCAATCATAAAACATTCAGCCTTTTGTTGCCTAAGAAACATTCAGTTTTCATCTACCAACATTCACTTTCAATATGTTCAGTTGGCATATTTGCATAGTACCAATTCAGTTGCTTCCAGGGGTTGCTTACGCAAATGATTGGCGCCATCGAGATATAAAAGAAACAATGGGCTGCGCTGTAATCACGTTGAGTCTGGCCGATAAAACAGCCTTCGCGAAAGGCCTGTCTTTTCGTCTTGTTCTCTGGGGTTTAGGCAGCTGCGTGTCAAATTGCATTCGGTCTAGGAGCGCGTTGAACTCGCGCGTAGTAACCGTGTTGCGTCTAATTCTCACAGGTCGTACAACTTCGAATTTTGTCGGTTACTTTGTCGTGCGTGAATAGAGTTCCAAGCCACATTTGTTCAGCCGATTAGGAGAGCTGGTACCAGATTGTCAGAGCGTGGCGTAATCAAGACGCAGTTATAACAGCGTTCAAGGTGAAATGTCATCAGTGGCACGCTCTCTTTGGTTGGTTAATAAGCTTCGGGCTGCGTCAGGGTCAAACTTTTCCAGGCTGCTAGCGAAGGGGATCAGCACAGAAGGCTGCTATGGACAGTGTCCCTTAATAATCACTCCCATAAAGGAATATATCAATCAGAAGTCATGATCGTTGCGCATCTGGGAAGTTGGATCGCTGGACTCAGGCGCGTGGAAAATCACCAGGATAACACACCACCGGTGAGCCTAGATTGACACTGCAGAGCGAGGATTTTTACGAGCCTCATGTAGTATACGCCGTAAAGCGACTGACCTCTATACACATTTCTGCTTTTTTCCTTGTACTTTCCATGTGCTTTCAGTGCACAGGCCTTCACATCTCAGGACAGCTGAAACTTGGAGGCGCTTCGGGCTAGCATGCCGGGCCAAACACACACGGAGTTGCTCGCCATGCTACAAGACGACTTGCGATTCTGCCTTAATTTCTCCGGTTATTCTACCTTCCGGCAATCCTTGCATAAAATTTGAAGGAAATCATACTGGATTTCACGAAAGCGCCGAACATGCTCAATCGACAGTACAACGCATGAAAAGTGGAATTTAACGTGACACATAACAAATGTGAAGACATTTGCTTGACTTCCGACAACCTTGGAACAGACTACACAGGGTGATTGCTTCGGCATCCTGAAGAATGCGAGACCAAGATGGCAACTTATTGTAGAGCAAAAATCGATAGTAACATCTCCAAAATTATACAGAGATAACACAAGTACTTGTGGTCGAAATCCAGATTCCGAAAAGTAACTGAATGACATCGTAATTTCTACGAAATAATTCCAATGCACGAATCTAACATGAAATTACCTCGTCAACACAGCCAGGAAAAATCAACCAGACACCGCTAAGCGCAGTGGAGGTACTTCCGACACTGCCGCCATCCAAGATGCAATTCCTGAGATGAGTTATGTTCTAGGATGTCGACTGTATTGGTGACGGCAGACACACGCACTTGCCAGTCCTCAAGCAAACCTCTATACCTGGATGTTGGAAAATACAAAGCACACTCGCTTATTGTCTGATTGCTGGCATGCAAAAGCTAAACCCAAGCCTGTACGCTCGCGCTGACGTGCGAGTCAAAGGAGCACGGCACAGAATCAATCGTGTCTCAAGTCTGACTATATGGTCTTTTCGAAAGAAGGGTCCTGTCGACTACAATCCATAAAAAGGTGGATTTAGCCAGGCGCAGGACATACAGCTTTATTCTCCAAATGTTGCATGCAGATAATTTAAGGTCTAGCTCTTGAAGCTTAGGGCCACATGAAATTTGGTTAATTTGCTGTTGGTTAAAGACCGGTGCTACCCACGGTGGGAACTGAATTATACGACCCGTTTCGTGCACGATCGCACTATTAAGGCAGAGATATAAACCAAGCGCAATACAGGAAAAATGGATTACTACCCGCTGCCTTCACAACTACTCTACAGAGAGATCCGAAGGAAAAACGCAGCAACGGTTCAAGCATCGTCTTTGTATTGTTGGGTGTAAAAAATTGAATAATCCATAAAAAAGAAACATATTGGTAGTAGGAACAAATAAACAGATGTTGGAGTCAACAAGAACAGTTACACCACACCTAGGTGATACTATCAACGATGGTGTTATCCAGAGTAAAACAACTGTTGCAGATATACACTCACTCGTGTGAGCAGATCTGATGTGCTTTTGTAAAATGCCATTCAGAGGAAACGACGCACCACAGTGTTCACAGGTAAAGGGGCGAAGTTCTGGAATAGAAAGCCGAAAGTCACAGATGAATCCCACTTAGAAAACAGCCATAGGTTAGATGGGGTTTCTCAAGTGATAACTACAGGCCTTAATAACAGATACTGATATCAAGGTTTCGAATTTAGAAACTGTGGCCGTAAACAATGCGATAGAGCTGGAAGAAAGATTTCATGAAATTTAGCATCAGGAACGACCTGATTCCATTACTGTGCACGAAAGGAGACACCTAACAATCCAATTCGTCCTTGATGTTCAAAGATAGTAAAATAGAAAATAATCTTACTGCAAACAAATCAACAGTTGGTGAACAATGCAACCTGCGTAGCCGGAAAACTATACCTGATGAAAGCGAACCTAGTAACATTGGAGTTCGATCACATTCTAGCAGTGCTATGTGGACACCATTTACGCAAGCTAGGCCATCGCGAAGTGACTGGAAGTTAACTTGGTGCGAGGGTTTATGTGCTTCAATGATCCATTGAGCTATGCTGGATGGTGTATTTTGCATCTTCAGAGCTATTTACACCCGATTGGTCAATGGTTATAGGCCAGACAAACTCAATCTTCTGGCCCACCACAAAACGGTTTCCTGAAGTCCAGGGGCAAAACCCCGTTGCGTTTCGATAAGGTTTTTGAACCCTAATCGTTCTCCTTTCAAGGCATAGGAAATCTGACAGCATCCTGTCCACGCAATAGAACACAATAACATACACTTTAAACAATCGCTTATTGCTCTGGCCGTTGTAGAGGATAATCAAAGGCACCCTAGCTGCCGCAGCAGCAGGATATAGAGAGGTTTGGATCCTACTACTCAGGCCTACACGTCCTCATATCCCCCACTTACGTTCTTTCATCGTTAGCGTCCCGCTCCAACTTCATTATTATCCTCCGTCTTTAATTCCTCAATACTTACCCCTCCCTAATTTTGCATGAATAGTCGCTCGTCTTCAACTCACAGACAATCGCAGAGCGTCGGTCCAGTTCAGTCGGCAGGTTGATGTCTAACCAAGCGGACAATGTCAGTTCATCCGTTTCCCTTTGTAGTCCTCGATCCTCGCTAAGACTGACATGCCTCCACGTGCGCACCTTGCTAGTGGCCAACAAGCAGCAATTGTCCGAACACTAGAGACCCTATCGATCGATATTTGCTGCTTATCAAAAACCCGCCGGCAACAATCGAAATCCGTGCTTACCCTGCAACCATCCACATATGATCTTGACAGTACATTCGCCCTGCGCCTCTCTGGCGATAACGCAACTGAAAACGCCAGTCAACGTGGCGTGGGCATTCATTTGAGACTGGGTAGTTTGTTCCAGGTCTAGAACTCACACGGGGACAAACGGTGCCTGTTTGTCATTGCGGACTACGCCTTCATAAACTATGGTACTGATACAGTGAAAGATCTCTATCGCCAATTTAACGATCTCGTTCGTTATAGAAAATGTACGGATACTGTGATGCTGGTGGTGATATGAATGCCCAAGTCGGAGAATTGTCCTCTGACGAGCTTCATCTGGGTGGCAAACATGGTGTAGGCTCCCGTAATGATAATGGTGAGCGGCTGCTACACCTTTGTGAAGATGCCCGTCTCTTTCTCGTGAGTACTAACCTATGACAAAGCATCCGCAGAAGAGTGGCTTGGCGCCCACCAACCTCGGAAAAACCATGGACGCAAATCGATCACATCGCGATGAGTTACCACTGGAGGGCTGCATCTAAAACCGTCGCTCGATTTGGAGTACGAGCGGGGACTCCGATCACGATCGTGTTTCAGCGACCTTCGGGTGCGTTTCGGCATATGTCCACAACACCGCTGTGAACGCACTGGCACCTGCCATCTGGCGAAGCCAGGTGTTCTGAATGTCTATCAAAGTCCGTTGGCATTCGGATTGAGTAAGCGCCGATCGAACACCGATGAACATCCCAGGTCGCACATTCGCCAGACGTTACTCAGTGATAAATCAAATTACCAACCTCGATATTTGGTGTCTACAAGGCATCTGGAACTTCTGAATCCTCGCCGGGGTGTTCCGGTTGGAAGCGAACAAAATGAGACCCACAAAAATCTCAAACCAGAATTGCGTGCTAGGCTGAAGAGAGACCAAGAAGCCTGGTGGTCTCATCGTGCATCGGAAATGCCACTGGTAACCATCGCGTCGTTCCGTCTGATAGTGCAGACGGGCAGTAGGAGACCTGGTGTTAACGAGACCAAACAAAATGGGAGTGAATAGCCGATTCATAGCTTGTCAAAACGCTTGGACCATTAGAACGAAGAGTGAGAAGCAGACCAATAAATCAGAGTTGTAAGCTTTGCCACCGGCCGTTGATTGCCCTATTCCCTGGGTCGTGACCGTGAATCCGCCCACACGCGCAGAAATCGAAGTGGGATTAGACTGTTGAAACTGAATAAGGATGCAGGGGCAAATATAATTCCCACAGCGCTTTTCAAATTCCGAGTACCTGCTCTTTAGATGATTTACACGAATAACTATGAAACTGTGGGAGCAGGAAAGTATCCAAAAAGACTGCAGCCGCTACCCATCATAGTCCCAATTTTCAAGGGAGGCTCCTGTACGGAATGAGTTAATCATAGAGGAATCAGCCAAATTTCCAATGCCTTTCCAATTATGATCTCACAGTAAGTGAATAATATGATATTTAACATTATTTTACACGCCTTTTAAATATTTTTGAATATAACTTTTATTACATCCTCTTCGTCGTATTGCGGCACATGAACTGAGATGTGTTTTACACCCTCAGCTAAGGTGTATGATGATGATGAGTTGTGCTATGATGTCCTATTTCACAACCGGCGTCCAACGATCATAGTACGAAACAGATATGTCGGAAGGTTGCACTTGCTCGCATACCAGGTACACGCAGTGTCGAGGTGTTTGCGTTCAAGAAGTTTGAAACACTGACTTTCACGTGGTTATCCAATTAATTGCACCCAGCCGGTTTTCTTACTATCGATTGCACGCTTCGGGAATCGCTGATGCGTCAACGGTGAAGTAGGCGTCGTTCTCAGCTACCAATCTGAGTCAACATTGGATAACTGGGTTCTCGTGAACACGCGGAAAATGACAAGCGTTTGTTACAGTTGTGTGCCGAGTGTCGGTTGTCTCTAAACAGCAAGATTTTTATACACAGTAAACCTAGATCTGAAACTAGGCGTCCACCAATAGCTGGCCAATGATGGACTCATCTAGACCACATCTACAAGTATTTCGAGCGCCACGGTTCACTGCAAGATTACCGCTCCCATTGGAACATGCGCGTCAAGTTGGATCATGGCCAGGTTAAATGCCGCATCCTTATGAATTTAATTGATAGGCGCATCAAAGGTTTTCTTCGGCTGACAATATAAGTGGAACAAAACCATCCGGATATCCTGCAAACCCAGATCCAATGGAATAGTATCTCGGCCAACATACATGACGCTGGAACCTCTGCTGGTGAAACTCAACGGTCATCGCATCAATCGCTGCAACAAGTACAACAGACAAAAACTTCCATCAGCGGCGATAAGGAAAGAACAGTGGTCGTGTAAGCAAATCGGTATTGCTTAGTTTAAAAAAAACTCGGATAGGTATGGTCAAAAATTAGAATCGAACAAGTGCCATCCGTTACATTATATCGAACTCCCGTTTGTCAGGCTGGGAAAGCGGTCGTCACTACGAAACGTGACGCTATGAAAGGTAAAAATGAGAATTAGCAATGCGCTTCTTGCATAACTATCAATACTCGTTTCAGATAGTTACAGTCCGGCGGCATTACGCAATATCTTGAATGTCACTGTGTGGTGTTGATGGCGTACGGCAACAGCGGATCAGGGGGTTCCTTATTAGGAGATGGCGGGTACGAGTGATTGTCCACCTAACGGACTGGTACCCCTCCACAGAGCACTGCGGCCCAGTTTATTCCTGATCCACATAAACAAAGTACCTCAGCTTCTTCGGCCGCCTTGTGCACAGTTTGCAGATGAATTGAAGATTTGCAGGATTATTGATTCTGCTGGAGACTGTGACGTCCTCCAGAAGGACCTCGACCGCATGCCTTGGTGGTCTGTAGAAGATGACGTACAGATCAACCCGGAAAAATCATCGTTTATGAGCCTGAGGACGGGTGGTAATGGGCGTGCGTACACCCTGGCCAACCACCCGTTAGGTAAAGGATCTAGGCGTACTCTCACGCTATGATCTGAATTCTGTCGACAACACAAACATACTGTACGTGAAAGGACTACGCCTGCTTTGGGCACTTAGACGCAGCTTCTGCATTTGGTCTGAAGAAATTGTCACCTGTCTTTTCTCTCGCATGATAAGACCGGTGCTTGAGTACGACTCATCCACCTAACGTCCAATCACAATAAATAAGATACAAAGACTGGAACGGGTAGAGCATGTAGCTACCCGGAGTTTAAGTTTGAAGAAGTAGTCATGGTTGAACGTGGGACGAGATTCTGCCAAGGCGCCCAGACAAAGACAGGAGAACGCTTAGGGCATCAACTTTTGACTCAAAAGCATATCCACAAAGGTAAGGGGAGGTGGTAAAGATTTAGTTATTCAAAAATGGACGCAAAACGTCCCAGCACGTGACGGTCCAGTCTGGTTGAGACAGTGTATCTTTAAGCATTTCGAGACATCTGCATTCCAAAGCCCTTCGGTTTCTAATCAGAAGAACGGGTAGCATCAGAAGTGATGAAACATAATGAGAAAGGCGCACCACTAACCATTATCGAAGGCCGAAAGACGGCGAACACGATCCACGCGGCTCTTCAAAGAGAAAGAAGCTGGACGCAAGCTCAGTTAAGAGGCCAGTTGTGTAATTGGACTCGCTAGTGGTTAAGCTATACTTGTTATGTAATCTAAATGGAGATAAGCAGATAGTAAGTCAACGCGTCATAATCATCGTCGCATGCTAGCTGAAGGTGAGCAACACACTTCAACTAATATGCCGCAGGAAGAATGGAACATTTTACAAAAAGTAAAACAAAACATTTAGTTTGTTTATTTGATTATATTTGTGGTATTAAACATGTGAATCAATACAATACTGTACACAATTCCTACATGATCCGGTTGCGGGCCATGTCTTCTAGTGTTTTAAGCCGTTGGCATTCCTCATGTTTGGGTCCCCATCCTGGAAGACGTACGGATCCAACAGCGGCTAGACACGACGTCAGTGATTTCATGTGCTGCCGCCAAGTGGAAGGCTGACCACCACGCGGTCGCCTCCAGCCAGGTCCTTGACGAGCGAATAGAGCGCGACGCGGTAGACGCTCAGGCGCCATGCGTAGGACGTGACCGAACCATCTCAACGAACACCAAAGCCAGTTTGTTGAAGGGAATACTCGCATTTCCCAAGTTGCGACGTCGAATATCATTACTATTTACTCGATGTCGCCACCAAACACGAGCGATTCTCCTTAACAACCGTTATCACGCAGAAAACGACGCATGTCTTCCACGCGAATCGGCCAGGACTCGCACCCATACAACAATACTGAACGAACTGATGCACTGTAAACGCGGCCCTTTATTGAGAATGAGACGTCGCGACGACTCCACAAGTGCCTCAGATTGACAAATGCTGATCGAGCTTTAGCGATACGAAGAGAAACTTCTTTGTTGATAGTGCCGTCAGCAGAAACACAGCTCCCAAGGTAGACGAAACTATCTACTGTTCAAGTTGTGCACCTTCGAGAGTGAGTACGGGAGCAGGGGAAAGCCAATCCTTGAGCAGAACTTTACACTTCCATGGGGCGAAACTCATGCCGTACTTAGATGCTTCAACCGCCAAACGATCCAGAATGAGTTGCATACTCTGAGGATCGTCACCAAGTAAGGCGATATCATCAGCATAATCTAAGTCCGTCGCGCGCTCACCCGGTAGAAGCTCTAAGCCAAAATGTTGGAAACCTTCTAGAGCATTCGACAGAACGTCTTCGATTGCGAAGTTGAACAGGAATGGGGACATAGGGCAGCCCTGTCGCACACCGCTATTGACAGTGAATGGCGAGGAAAACTTGCCATAGACCCTCACTCTGCCGGATGTATGAAGGTAAAGTGCTCGTAAGATGGCGGTATATTTCGTTGGCACCCCGTTCTTTAGTAAGCAACGCCATAAAGCAGGTCGATTAACGGAGTCAAAAGCGGCACGTATGTCTAGAAATGCAATGATAGTGGGCCTGTGATAAATGTGACGATGTTCGAGGAGCTGGCGGAGCGTGGAGATTTGATCCACGCATCCGCGGCCAGGACGGAAACCAGCTTGTTCTTCACAGTAGTATGATTCACGTACTGGGGATAGTCTGCGAAGCAGTATGGATGCCAATAGCTTAGAGGTAACCGAAATAAGACTAATCCCGCGATGATTTGCACATGAAGTGCGAGCGCCTTTCTTGAAAATCGGGACAATAACTGATTCGCCCCAAGAGGAAGGCACTTTCTCTTCATGCCAAATTTTTGCGAACAGCGAGGTCAGCTGGTTAATGATCGCCACACCGCCGTACTTGAATAGTTCCGGAGGAAGTCCGTCTAAGCCGGCAGCCTTGAAACGCTTCAAGCGTCGAATCTCGAGGCAGACTTCCGCTTCGCTGGGTGGATTCAGAGGGACGAGCCAGGGTGGACAACAACGTGTACTGCATGTACTGATGGATGGTGGAGGCCAGTTGAACTGCGAGTGAAAGTGCTCGGCCCAGCGGTTCATACCCCTCTGTTGGTTGGTGATCGGAGACTCATCCACCTCACAAATGACCTCACTGACACCAGGCTTCCTGAGGCCAGTGGACCAAATGAGTTGGAAAAGCCTGCGAGTGTTGCCAGAGAGGGCAGCAGTCTCCATCTCTAAAGCACGCTCAGACCACCATGTCTCGCGATCCTTGCGTAAGCTTTGCTTGAGCAGCCGGTTGGCAGAACGGCGCCGCTCGTTGCAATCTGATTCCGCCGGGATATCATTGCGGCGTTCGAACAGCTCCAGAGAACGAGCAGAGATCCAAGCCTTCAAGGGGCGTCGAGTTAGGCCGCAGCATGACTGGCTGGAAATGGTCATTGCCTTCCGTATACAAGTCCAGTGTTGTTCCACTTCTTGCGGTGGAGTGCAACTGAGTGCATATGCCAGTGAAGACTGATAGCTCGCTTGGACAGAGGAATCAGTTAATCTGTCTACATCAATCTTGCGGTGCTTCGTGTTTCGGGATCCTCCAAAACACATAGATTTTCGGGCAGACCAGAGCAAGATCTGAGTCAACGAAGGTGGAGCAAAAGGACCTGCAGTTCAGTACGCTGCCGCGCCATCTGAAGCCAATTGCAATGTGATCAATTTGAGACCACGGTTGTGTTGGCGAAAGGGGACGCCACGTTGCGGAACGCTTCTTCGTACGCCTGAAGTTAGTGCACGAAAGAAACAGACGATTGTCTTCGCACAATGTGAGAAGTCTTTCCGTTATCAGAGCGGTTCTCATAGAGCGAGTGATGACCACCAAGGTGGCGTTCGTATGGTAACAGGCGGCCAACCCGTGCATTAAAATCCCAAGCAAGGATAACGACATCCGACTTTTTAGCATTAGTCAAGAGCTGATGTAGATCCCGGTAGAATTGGTCCTTGACCGAGTTGCCACTACAGTCAGTTGGAGCGTACACGGAAATCACAAACAAGTTGAGCCTCTGTTCGCGGTGCCTGTTGATTCTACATGAACCCCGAAGCCGAACTGCACATAGTCGGCTATTAATAGGGAACCTGTCCAGTAGTGCCGCCTCGGCCTTGCCACTCAGTGCTATACCTACACCAGCCAAACCCGCTGAGGCTGCTTCTGGATCTCCAGAAAGACGCAGGTAATATCTGGCTTCGTTGTCAGTGGGGGATGTCAATGTAAGTACAGTGCTGGGATGTTGCAATCGGATTTCTGAAAGGCAGCAGACATCAATGTCAAGGGAATCTAGATTGTGCGCTAGACCGGCTTGCTGTCCAATCTGCAGGAGTGTCCGAACGTTGAAGCACGCCAGACGGAACGAGGATCGGGGGCGAAGGAAAGACATAGGTAGAATTCCTTGGTCTGCGGCGCAACCGGAATCGCAGCCAGATTGTTGAACACATGAATCGGGTAACGGAAAGTGAGGATTGTTAACAAACAAACAATTGGCGTGTGATGAAGTAGCGTGAAAGTGACTAGCAGAGACAGTAGCGGATGAGCACGTTGTAATACAGTCCATGGTTTTGCGAGAGGGCGTGATACTACCCGGTTGCCCAAGCCGAAGTAGGGAGTTGACTTAGGGGACTCCACCCCGAGCCTTTGGCTAAATAACCTACCCGCAAGGCAGCGGGGCGAATTTAGGGAATCGCGCCCATTGGGAGGCGTTGACTGAATGTTCAGTTCATGCGTCTTTGTTTGGTAGATTACCAAACAGGGGCCCAATACTCCCCATGAAGTCAGCACACCTGCTGGAATACAATGTCCCACCGAGGTGGAACATTGTCGCCGAACACTTTGCTGGAACGGGGTACACCCGAACCACCCAGCTATTGATTTGTGCAAGCCTGCATGCTCGAGTCCCCAAGGTCAAGCGAGCCGAAAAAGCACGGTCCGACTTCGAATCAATCGTAACAAACATGCGCTTATGACGCATCGTTATTCAACGAATTGGTACGAAGTACGGAAGTTGGTGAAACAGCGGGAGCCATGGGTTGATCCTGTATAGGTAGAGGCGTCCTGTGGCTGTCCGCGCATTCAGACAAGTACACAAACGGATACCACCGACAACAGGTAGGGGAACCAGAATTCCGCCAACTAAAATACGGAAAACCGTCCTGAACACTGCGTTGTAACAACTATTTAACATACGACGCAAGCAATTGTTCGTTTTTACCCCGTCCCAGTTACCTGCATCGTTCCAATCTTCAGCTAGAAACAATAGAAATCGGACTATAAGCAGAGAAATAGAAGTTGTTGGCAGATTATTTTAACACAATTTAGCGAATTCCAGGGAAGACACGCATTACAAGGTGTGACAGTTGTGCGAATGGAGCGACACGGGCAATCACAATTTGGATTGCAAACCAGTTAAAATTGAACCGGTCACCGGCAATGCGTTCCAACTTAATAACTGTCCTACAAGAGATCGTAACACACAACGGCCGATCGGGAACTCATCATGAATACATGTTAGCCGATGGTGAGAAAAACACTTCAGCTAATGTGCCGCAATACAAAAAGATAGGAGAGTAAAAATTACAGACAACCAATGACAGGAAAGTAACACAATGCTAAAATCACATAACACATTAGGTTAAGATCTTTATTACAGGGGAAGGTTAAAGGAATGGGACAGTCGAGAAACACTAACCGACGCCAAGTTCGAAGTGAGGAACTTCATTCCTTTAGATCATGTCTCCCCTCCTTCTATCCGCCCCGGATGCGCAAACGATGCAAGATGCGGGAGTCGGTATGTTGGCATGCCAATTGGGAAAAGTAAACACTTCATGACTAAGTCGTGAGAACAACAAAACAAGGAGCGATTGCAAGAAATACGGTTCAGCAAACCGAAGCTACGTGGCATGAGCAACGATGGCACAGTGCAAGCGTTAAACTCAAACATCAATGCTAACATCATGTACACACTCACTCAGATGAACGGATTTGAGATGTGTTCGCATATGAGACTTCTGAGAAAACGATTTACCACATTGTTCACAAATAAAGGGGCGCTGTGCTGAATCGGAGAACAGAAAGTGCAAGGTTGCAGTCAAAAGTACAGGAGGAAATCATCCGTAGAACGTTGAAAAATCGGTTAGAATAGTATCGTAACCTTTATAGTGTAACACAACCATGAGCACAGATAATGGATCAGAGGATTCGCCGTGTGAACTAACAGCTGTTGATGCGCAACCATATAGGCACTGGGAACCGATGGCTATTAGAGTGCGTGGCGCCTTTACTTAAAAGTACCACTTCGTCTTTATTTAATATGCAAGGCTTGTCTTCCTTTCGTGCGCACACCTACTAGTTTGGAATAAAGTGGAAAGTACCTCATCGGGACCATACTGACAACCACCGTCGCATAGCCATGCACGTTGAGGCAAACTGCTAAACCTGCTCCTCTCGCATCGGCCACATGATTCATCTCTCGGATCAAACCAAACATTGAGATTCACTACTCAAAATACATACTTACTCGTAGAACATCTCTCACCTCCAGACTGCTAAGCACAACGAGTCTGCTGATTTGTCATTGCCGCCTGACTTAGTGCGCATTCAGTGCGACCGCGCGCATCGAAATGAATTCGTTCCCATGCACACTGTTCCCCGTGTAAGAAGAATTGTGACGCACTTCTCTGTGAACCTTTCATCCCAAGTTTGTATGTGTGAGATCTCATTCCAGCTATCTTGATCTAGCCTAAATAGGTGCACGTCCTCCACCTCCACCATGATTCCTTGCACAAACTGTTCACGCTCAAAAAGCCGGTATGCTCCCTGATAATCAGTTTCACTGCCTTATTTGTTCCAATGATCAAATAATAACACCGTGGAACATGTATATGTGTGTACCTCACAAATAGCATCGCCAATAGTAGTCAGTGATCTTAGCCAACTCAATAATCTATCTCGCCACTGTTTGTACAATGATGTGAATATCGCTTACGGGTGTTACATCTGACACCACACAGCTTCGTAATTTCAATGACCAAAATTGTTTGTACATTAAAATGAAAAGAGATCGTGCGAGCAGCCCACTAATCCGCGTCTTCCCGACTTGTGGTTGATTCACTTTGTTCAATTTAACACATAAATGCCGCGTATTAGAGTGCCGTTACATGGCTATTTTGAACAAACTGCAAGCTCCTGCTACGGAGTTTCAATGAAAGCGCACCCTATCGAGATTTGTCCGCAGCTAGTTTGCAATGTGCTCTGCAAGTAGTACCGCATATTGAACCCGCGTTGTCTTCCGAACTGATACTGAGAAGGAAGCGGTGTTCAAGACCATCCAAGCGATCATAGAACGCAAATTGGCACTGTGGTAACATTTCCACCAAAACCTAAGTAATATAAATCTCATTCGGCTAACGACGCCACTGCATTGCAGAGGAAACTGTTAAGTCAAAGGTGTGGGAGCTAGAAAAAAAACCGCTTCTTAGAATGGGCAGATGGGGAGCATCATTTGACCACTGGATCCGGTGGCTTAGAATTGCTGTTGTTGTCTTTACTCTTCGACTTCCCTGTCTATGGAGCAAGAGTGTGCCATTGAGTTCACAAACGGTGCCAGGGAGGCGTGCAACTCGTCCACCAAACCAGGTGTTCTATTTTCTACTGTTTCGTACAACATCCGCACCTTCACTTGCTAGAAACAGTTTGTTTGCGAAAACTTGGTTTGTAACGAATCTACCAATGATGACTGCACACCTCGTTTCCTTAGCGATAGTGAGTCAATGTCACAAGGTACTTATGGGGCCGATATTGCCATCAGCAAGCAAGATAAAGACAATCTATTCGGCTGGTTACCAGTGGACAGCCACACGTGCGAAATTCGACTTGGAACCTCTGTGGGTGTCAATAAACATTATCTGAACACAACGTGTCTTTTCATACCTTCGGTTTAAGAACCAACCAGCTAAGGATGGGAAGGTACCAAAGTTGATTTCAGTTTCCACTCTCATCTCTTATCTGAGTGAGGAAGAATACTAATATCGTGACCCCTGCTAATGACAGGAATCCCACATTTGGTCGCCTACCGGACTCTGAAGAAAGGGTGCCGGTGAAAATGACGATGTTTGCTTCATGTCAATTACCGCATCCCGCACTGCTTGATAAGAATGTTGACAAAGCCACATCTATTATTGATTCAGTGAATCTGCTAACGGATGCTGAGGGGAATATATAAACACGTAGTTGAACTGCACAACGCAGGGGCGCCCTCAGGTTGTAGATTATAGAATGTTCTCCTTATGCTGGTGACTTTTGCCTCACAGGTGAGATAAATAAGTAGTCATTTCGGGGTGTGGGAGTCTTGGACTTGCACTGCATACTCGATACGAACAGGCTAATTGATCAGACGGTTCAACTAAGCTGTCAACAGTCACTGGCAAACACATTAGCTTGTGGTACACCCACTGACATTGAACATTATTGGAGCTTCTTGCAGCATAGGATGATTAATTCGGGTCAATAAACATGTGGGCCAACTTAATAACTCTTTAAAGGGTTGTATCCTTACGCGCCCATTGGTAATGTCCGAAAACGGCGCCAAACTCAGACCACAATGAGTTTAATCGCACTGTCATTCGAAAACACAAACGAAGCCTTCGCGGCATCAGCAAGTTCAGTGCTTCCAACATGTTTTGCAGATGGAGGCCGCCGCCTTCAGCATAAATACTCGCAGGATGTCCCAGCCCGTTTCTGAGGTATACCAGTCGAAAATAGCCTAGCTGCAGAGAAGCATGGGAAATTGGTCTGAGGATTTCGATTCTAAGTTCACACGCTAATTGACATCAACCTTTGCATCTAGCACACCCGGGCGCATGCCATGGAAGCGGTCACTGGAATGATCTGCCGAGACGGAGGCATGTATTGAAATCCGATGCCATAACCGCTGCGGGTTCAGACGAACTTACTCTAGAATGATCCAAGCTCGGTAGCACAGCAGTTGTCAAAAAGCCAAAATCTCGGTTATGAAGATTCGGTAATAAAAAAGGGGTTCTCTACTCCAGAGGAAAATGTTTAACTGTCTTAAATATAGTTCCCATGCTTACTACGACTTGCATAGTGACGTCGCTCATGGAATACAATCGATCCATAACCGACTAGTGGTTGGAGCGTCCAGATATGTCGTGTGCTTTCGCCCTCAAAGTGTAAAGTGTTGTTAGAGGATTGACAGACACTCCTTCCGCAGCTAACCAACACAGGCATAGAGTGCTAAAACCCAAATAGTTTTAGAAGCAGATGCACGAACAATATTCTTTTCAACAATTCCCATCGGGTGTGTACAAGTATGGAGCGAAATTTTGGAGAGAATACATCTCGTAGAGGCTTGTACAGAGGGAAACCAACTCAGTAACTGGGCAGTATGAAAACTAAATCAGTGGTATGATCAATCAGACTGTCGCATTACGAAGCAGGTGATCAAGGCGGGTCATATGTCAAGTTCAAGGCCAAGGCAATTTCAGAGCCTGTAGCAGTGTGCGCTGTTTGCACAGATCTGGTTTTAGAATATTGATCGCAATGGCTTCAGATATGCTTAACAGATGTTTCATAAGCTATTTTGAATAGCGTTTAGGGATAGTATAAACGACTTGAAACGACTGGTTCAGCTGCACTTGGTGTCCAGTGTCCACCAAGTGTTGTAAAACGGAACTGTTGATGGATATTACCGTGCGTTTTCGAAGTGACGCAGGACAATGTTCAGCGATTCTTTTGGACAAACACTTGGTCGTATGTCAAGATACCTAGTAGCGCAGGTGCAGGAGGAAGCAGAAAACATTTTGAAGAGTTAAGAAACTCGAAGCTCATAGATGATGCACTCTTCTCAAAGCTGACCGCATGCAGCTCACACCCTCCGCGACTGTATGGTTTGCCAAACGTGCACAAAACAAACGTTCCGATGCGACCAATAGTGGACATGTTTACTTCCGCTTTTCACTCTGTAGTAAAGTGGATAACAGACTTGATGGGACCGGTTCGCAAAGAATTATCGATTCATACGGTCAAAGACACATTTGATTTGGTCAACCGAATAGAAAACCTAAACGTGAAGGATAAATTAATGCTTTCGTTTGACGTAGAATCACTTTTCACGAACTTGCCGTTGATAGAGACTGTGACATTCATTTGTGATTTCATCAATGAGAGAAACATTGATGTTGGAATTCCGGTGAACAAACTAAAAGAATTGATTCTGCGTTGCACCTTCAACGTATAATTTTTGTTTAATGGAATCTATTATAGACAGATAGATGAAGTCGCAATGGGTTCTCCCCTAGGCCCCATTTTGGCTGACATCTTCCTTTTAAAGTTTGAACGTGGAGACTTGAACGCCCTTATAACTTCATTTGATTTATACTACCGTTACATGGACGACACTTTCATTGTCTGTGACTCTTCCGCCGATTAGCTAACCCTATTAGATCAGTTTAACAGAGTGCATCCATCACTAAAATTCACCAGTGAAGTTGAGCAAGATGGCTGCATGGCGTTCTTAGACGTTCTATTGCATCGGCGTGAAAACGGGACGATCAAAAGGAGTGTTTTTTGCAAAGCGACGTGGGTAGGTCAATACACCCACTTTCTCAGCTTTGCACCGCTGAGATACGAGAGGAATTAAGTCCGTTGCTTATACCATCGTGCCAGAGCAATCTGCAATCCAGAGACGCGGGAAAGAGAAACCAAACTCATCTATAACACGCTGTAAGAAAATGGATACCCCGTACCTTTCATCAAAAAGCACTCCAAACAGCTTGAGGCTGTCAAATGTGTCGCTACAGTGCCAAAAAGGACGTATTTCTTACAGTTCCCTATAAAGGTGACGTCGCGTTCGAACTGTTGAATAGGAAAATCTCGACGGCAATCGCCAAGACATTTCCAGACGCTAATCTAAAACTACTTGCCGAAACAAGACTATTGATTATTCAGCGCTTAAAGGATAAACCCCTGGTTCGGTTCGAATCGTTTGTCTTATACCAGTTCACTTACACCTGTGGTGCTAGGTATCTTGATATACGACCAAGTGTTTGTCCAAAAGAATCGCTGAACATTGTCCTGCGTCACTTCGAAAACGCACGGTAATATCCATCAACAGTTCCGTTTTACAACGCTTGGTGGACACTGGACACCAAGTGCAGCTGAAGCAGTCGTTTCAAGTCGTTTATACTATCCCTAAACGCTATTCAAAATAGCTTATGAAACATCTGTTAAGCATATCTGAAGCTATTGCGATCAATATTCTAAAACCAGATCTGTGCAAACAGTGCACACTGCTACAGGCTCTGAAATTGCCTTGGCCTTGAACTTGACATATGACCCGCCTTGATCACCTGCTTCGTAATGCGACAGTCTGATTGATCATACCACTGATTTAGTTTTCATACTGCCCAGTTACTGAGTTGGTTTCCCTTTGTACAAGCCTCTACGAGATGTATTCTCTCCAAAATTTCGCTCCATACTTGTACACACCCGATGGGAATTGTTGAAAAGAATATTCTTCGCGCATTTGCTTACTTCTGACTCAAATGGGGATAAGTTATGAACCAAATAGTATGGTCTGCATAGGAACTGCATTTTTGAGGACATTAGGCAGAGAAGGAATATTTTGTAAGGCAAAAGCCCGATCGGCCTTTGGCAACTCAAGGCATTTGTGGCATCGTTGCGACACTTCGCTAGTTAAAGGGCAGGAGGACGACTAATTGCTCAGTTTATATGACTTTCGTTTGGCCGATAACCAAACATAGCCCCGATGTTCCCCACAGACGTCAGCAACCAAAAGGTGGGGGCCGGCTATACTACAGTCGAGCTTCACATCTAATCACAACGAATCACTATCATACGGCACTACAGTAGACATAACGGAACTAAGGGACTAGGAAAGGGGCGATGACACCGCTGGCTGAAACATTCACATTTACATCGCCAAGGTAAACGAACAACGAGAGCCATAATGGTTGAAGAGTCAGCAATGGCATGAATGCAGTGACCGCTGGGTGAATGGAATGCGGTACACAGTTACAACGATGATCCTGAATTACTATGAAGTGAATCTCGATCAGCCCGGCCGAAGAGACCGTATCTGATGTGGTAAATAGATCATTCTACGGAATAAGATGTCCCTTTTTAGTGAGTACCATCACCTGAGAATCGTGGTGCACTGTTTGTTCGAGCATAGATACGCGATATTACCGATCAGAGTAAAATAACAAAGGAATAATAAAATAAAGTCATGCTATCTGTCAAACACTTACCTAAATGTACAGCTTTGACGTGAGCTTGTAAATTACCCTTCCCAGAAAAGGATTTGTCGCAGAGCTCACAAGAATGGGTGCGCTCATCTGGGTTTCCATTTTCAGACCAAACAATGCAGAGAAAATATTCACAATATAGTTGGTGAAATGTTAGCAATCAAGAGCTACGAAGCCAATGAAAACAATGAAATGAGTTCAACCAATAAGAGGCGTCACATAAAGCACCAATCTTATGCGCTCAACGAGCGGTAAGTGATAGCGTTAATGCAATGAGGGAAGTGTGACAAACCAACGAAAAAAATGACTGTTAACAGTCAAAGTAATGCGTTAAAACAAACGCCAAGGGATGCAAACAAAAAAGACAATTAAATTAAGCGTTTCCTCAATACCACTTTTTATAATAAATAACTTGAGGACGGTGTAGTTCTTCTGACAAGGTTCTACCTGTGAAGCCTGCACTGCAATTTCCAGACGGACGAAGTACACACCTGACAGCGGTACTCGTCTCACAGATATCCAACAACCCATTAATTTCAAATCCGTTGATAATTGTCGTCCGCGAAAAATCTGTGCACCCTACGTATGATGCAAGTTGACAAAACAGTTTGCTAATTTCAAGACTGCAGCTAAACAGAGTGTTAAGAAAGCGTAATAATGCGTCATAGTTGCTACCACTCTTAGTTGGAGGGGAAGAACGTTCTTCAATGATCGTATGCGACGTGCGCAGAGTAGCCACCCGAATTTGGAACACTGCGGGCCAACGTGATCTAGCGAGCTGATACTGGAGACGAAGAACGTGTAACCTCGCGCTAATGCACTGAGATTCAACCAGAAAGACTGAGCGGCACATGAGTTTTCATACAAGAAGTTTTCCGAGAAAAACTCAATGTGACTTTGTGTGGCAACTGCCGTAGTGTGCTGTGGAGAGTTCAGTGAATTCGCTACAGCTTGCACAGTGTCCTGCGTAAAGCTCAATTGGTTCACCGTGGCTAGGTATCAAAGTCCTGGGGACCACTCAGTTGTTAGTTGCGCAGTCTGGGTCGCTGCATGGTGTTTGTATGTGTGGGGTGAACCTGGCGAAATCTGCGCAAGTTTCGCGGAGCTATGCCAGATTCGCAACAAAAACACTGCCGGGTCTGGCTTCCACACCTTCTTAAACATCCACTTGCGAACGCGTAGTTCATTTCATTGACGGGTAATGACCAGTGGGGATTAGTGCAGGAAGAAAAACTCCCAAATACATTTTTAGTATTCTGTTATTACAATCCAGTTTACACAGCATGCCCCCACTAAAACTTTTTAACATCTCATGGTCCCTGGACATTTTCCATGGCCCTCAGCAGGGCTATTTGACTGGTGTAGATTACAACTTGTTCCGCAGCAGGGCATACGTGTGCCGCCGCGGATTTTAATCGGTGCTGAAATACCCGGCATATGTAGTCTCATTTAAATGGCAGTTGCAGGGGTGCCTTGATCTTCGGTACCGTGAGCACACATTCTTCCGCTCTCAGCAGTAAACTGAGCGACAAAGGACAGTCAGCAATTATTGCTTACGAGAGTGATGGTAATCAGGACTTGTGTTAACATTTGTGATAAACGTTTCCTGGGGAACTAGTTGATACAAGTAGCCTAAGTTGTTTGGCATGACGACGCCAAATATGAGCAGTAAACTGGACATGGTACAACACCGTGCCTAGATGCTACACCATTTGTTCAGGTATCCAGTTGATCTGACATCTGCGGTTAGAAAGAGTGAATACAAAGTCACTTCTTCGAAATTCCTAATCCGTGTCCAAAACCCTTTTGAATTGGTTCTCCATGACTGTATTCGTACGGCTTACTGGATGTCGCTTAGGCGTGAATAAAATACTGTGGTTCTCGACATTTGACCCATCAGGGGTTTAGCTGGTGAGTACCAATCGGAGACATTAGGACTTAGGGTAGCTCGATACTACGACAGGAATTAGTGCAGCTCACCGGTTCTTACCCCATCCAATACAGTAATATTTCTGCTTTCCCATTTGTGAGCAAATCTAATGTGTTCAATCCCATTTTGTCCACAAAACTCGTCAAATTGACAACATGTGTACTGCGGTCCGTTATCCGGCACAACTGTTTGAGACAGACCGCTAGTAGCGGGCGTTTTGCAACACGGTAACTTCAGGCTAATTGCTATAAGCGTCAACCAATGCAACCAAAGTGTTAAGGATCCTAGTGTGGCCAGACGCATCCAAATGAAAACGTTCGATTAGGGTTGTCCCCTCTCGTAGATTAGACAATTAGGCGATTCGCACCGATCACGTGATAACGCCTATGAGAAAACTAGCCGCTGTGAAAACGGTGACGGAAATTCTGCCAACCGAGTGGCGCACGTGGACCTTATGGCCGCATCCCGACCAGAGCAAGAGAAGAGGAAAGACTTTTCACATCAGCGCTTTTACCGACTGCACAAAAATGCAATACAAGTCATAACATCCTCTTAGTTATTGCATAAATTACTCAATACGCCGGGCGAAAGTTTGAGCGAGGCGGTTTTGTTGCAGTTTGGATGTCGCGCTGTCACACCGCGAATGCCACTCCGCGTAGTACTGTGCGTGCACAAGCGATTATTGGAGTCCGTGCCACGGGTGCGCAACTCTGTGGAATCATTTGAAGTACGCATAACACAGACACTATCGATTGGTCTATGCGAAATCTAGATGCATCCGAAAAGAAGTTGATTTGGGTTTAGATCAAAGCCACGATGTTGTTTGCACCAGAAGCATGAAAGTACGAGAGTATTTAGAGAAGCCGACGATCTACCATCGGCCAAACAACGCAGCTCCATGCAAATGTTTCCATGTGACCGATTCCTGGATGAGCATTACACAGAAGCATTGAAAACGTAGACAAATCTTTTCTGGAGTGATGAGGCGATCGGCGAAAAACAGACAAGTCTATTTCAGATATGGGGTCGTAAGGCGAGTGAAATTGAGCTAGTACTTCCATTGCACATTTAATCAGCCAGCCTGGTCTTATGTAAGTCAGAAGTTCTAGCAGTAATACGCTCTGCATCGTGGCTTGCTGAATCGTCATGGCACTAACCGTTAATCTATTCACGGCCCCATGCACTATGTGGCTTATATCTGCGGCAACTGTAATCGCGGTGATTATTGCATCTTCTGGCTCAGGTCTATTGGTATTGAGTTATCCGAATAAAATGTTGGCTTGATCCACACAAGTAGTTGACAAATAGTTGGTTTCGTGGTCACATGCCAGGATTAAAGTTGCCCAAAGCTGAGGTCTGGTAACAATGAGGTACGAAGTGTAGTCTGTATAGCAACTTATGAAATCTTTTTGAATATCAAAGACAAAATCCAATGCTCCTTCCTCGATTCAGCTGAAATTCGTCACAAAAGCGATGAGGGCTCGTGCAGATTGATCTGTGCCATCCGGAAACCGATGGGTAACGACCGCTGCAATTCCACAGCTGGAGGCATCCGTGGCCCCGAGAATTTCTAGTTTGGAGTCACCATGAGTTAGCCGTAATTCTGACTCTAGCAGTCAATTTTAGCTTTCCAATGCGTGCTGGCACTACCTGGGCCAGTTCTATCCAACATCTTTTATCAGTAATTTGGTTGGTTGGGCGCGGCGGAAATTCACCACAATGATTCACCATTCCCAAGAACGCTTTCAGCGCAGCAATATTCGTCAGCACAGGCAATCTATTCATGACTTCGATTTTGGCCGGATGTGGTCTGCGGTCGTACTGGTCAACAACGGAAGCCAGAGACTTAGTGGATTTCATACCGCAGTGAGTGGGACCGTATGCTTTAACCGAGCTAGCATTAAAGGAGTATGTCGGAGCGAAGAAGCTGAATGCGCGAGTATCCGCTCAAGTAAATGGCGATGCTTCATTGAGCACCACAACGACGGTTGATGTGATACAGACGGTACACAGTCGTTGAAATGCGAGTGAACGTGTTGGCACATGCTTGATGCTTATTCTTGTGCGGAGTATACCAAGTCCATTTGCGCTCAACATAAAGATTGACAAGGTTTCTACTTGTCGGATAACATCAAATCAAGTACCAGATAAAAGAGATGGTTAATCGCTTCTGAGTGAGCAACAGTTTGAGGAACAGCCACAGAACTAATGGGTTTCAGGAAAAAGGAAGTAAAACGCGTATTTTGCACGTGCGGCTTTCTCCTTTTATCGTTCAGACAGCTGAACCGAGATTAGTATGAACACAGAGCTGTATTCGACCACATTAGGATTGAAGTTAACTTGCAGTTGCCAAAAGCACGGTGGCATCTACTCCGAACATTGCACTATACGATGCGCCTTGTGCATTTCTGCACTTTGGAGAAAAGAGCTCACCGAATTGGGACAGATTGCTACCTTCTGCTTTCACAACCACAATATCAAATTTTGCAGGAAGAGCTCATTAAAGGGTCTAGGAATCGCTTGGAGCAACAGTGGTGGAAATGGAGTACAACAGGCAATCACAATGTCGACCGCCATTTACTATGAAGTTATCGTTGATCAGTTCATTCATCGGGACCGCATCAAAATCTAACGCCAGCTGCAGCAGAGTACAGCATGTGTGAACCAAGCGATGTAAAATGCGAAAACCCTTCAAATCATGTAGGTAGATGGAAAAATTAAATTCCTTACAGTAAAGACATCCCGAAAGTTGAAACAAACAGGCGTTACAGCCAACACGACTGATCACACCATAACCATGTGGCATCATCAGCGATGGTATAACCCATATGGTATAGTCAGAAGAAAACAACGGTTACAGATACACTCACCCGTATGAACAGATTTGATATGCTTTTGCAAACCGCAATGCTGGGTAAACAATGCACCACACTGTTCACATTTAAAGGGACGAAAATCTGCAACAGAAAGCCAAAAGTGTAATGTCACACACTTCTAAATCACACTTCTAAAACAGCTATACAAAGGGGGATGATACGTTAACTGGGATTACTCAAATGATAACTAACAAAGGCATTAATAACAGCTGTTGTAATCAAGTATTTTAATCCGGAATAAGCGGTTAATTATGTAACACGGGATAGTTGGGAAACAAATTCCATGAAATCTGGGATTAGCAACAATCTGGTTTTGTTACCGTGTACGAGACAAGACAAATAAAAATCAGATTCGTCCTTTATGTTCAAAGAGAGTAAAATGGAAAACAATCCTACTGCGGCCAAAGTAGTAGTCGGCGAAAAATGAAATCTGCGCAGCCAGATAACTTTGCCTGATACAATAAACGAAAGCATCATTGTAGTTCTGCCACCTGCAGCTAGATTCCAGCAGTACTGCTTGGACACCCCTTACTTGTGCTACGGTGTCCTATTTCTCAGTAGGTTGCAGTTGCGCGCACATCAGGCACATGCAATGTCGACGTGCTTGCGTTAACGAAACTGGCAACACTGACTATCATGTGGTCATCCAACTAATTGTGACAAGCTTGTGTTTCCGTACGCTTCCGGAGACGCTGATGCGGCAACCATAGGTCAAACTGGAGTGGGCAGTACGCACAGATCCAAAGCTGAGTTACAAATGCATGACCGGATTCCTGTGAACGCGCGGTCATAAGCAAAAGCGTGTAAGAGTTGTGGGTGGGGCGTCGTCTTTATCGTAACAGCACTTCCTTATGCACAATGCGTGTCAATCATCCTCCTAAGGCTGGAATCAAATAGAGTACAAATACACAAGTTTCAGGTGACACAGTTTGATTCCGGATTGCTGCTGTTTCTGAAACACGTGCTTCAACTCTGATAATGACTTGGTTCGATGAACTTCGCAGGCAGACGTAGCAAACATTCCTCTCGGCTGGTAACTGAGACGTTATCTCAGCCCGTACTAAAACAAAACTATCAGCACGTCCAGTATATCGAGGTTCCATCGGATTGCTCCAGTGGAATAGAGTGGAACGAGAGCGACCAGGTCAGACAAGTTTCTCCAGCATGATCAGAGAACAGGGATGCAATTACCGTAACGCAAGAGTTTAGCTTGAATCCTTCGTTGGAAAGTGACAATCGATGCTGAAATCAGAAGGATATTGTTGCCTCGCAGATAGTGATTACGGTCAGCATGCACAATGGCGTGCTTTGGATAGATGGACATAGCCAGTCATTCGGTAGTCAGCATGTAACTCGGTGTGTGCTAGAAAACTGCCACTTAGATAAAGGCGACGGTGGCGGCCACCACGGTCGGCACAATAAGTCTCGAGACGGAAACGGTGTCCGACCGGCTCGAGTATTCAAGTCACGCAACCTGCACGATGCTCGTGCCTTCAGCACTCCGGATGAGGGTGGGCACCTGCGGGTAGAACTCGTTTTTGACGGTTTCTGATCTGAAGTCCCCGGGGGGCATAAGCATAAACAATAAAAAGGCACCCGGGTTCGAGTCGTTTTGTATCGACTACGATTACGAGTACCCAAAAAAGGAAGCCACTGCACATCCACTAAGAGCGATCCCAACGAAGTAAGTAGCGAAAACCGTACATGCTGTGTCATAAGAACTGTGCAAGTGGACAAATTTGAACAGCAGTCAGGTAAGTAGGATGCTGATGTCCTGTATGCGTGTCTTCAGGCACAGCATGCATAAATTCCTAGAGTGTAAAATCAGCGAGCACAGTATGCTGACTAACTTGAAACAGTATGGGAATAGTTGAGTATGCAATATTGTACGGCACATCAGGCTTTAAAATTAACCCAACATACTTTATAGCGCAGCCGATGAAACCATTAGTGGTCTCTTGCTGGCAGACATTCGTAAAAAAGAGAGAAACGGTGGGGAAATACAACTGGCGAAGATGCCTCGTACGCAAATGATGTGACTGCTCATTTCGAGAGCGAAGTTTTGCACGAGGCGAACTACTTCCAGCCTTAGATACAACATTCCGACCTGCAGAGCAGTGGGATAGAAGGAGGCTCGTTTGACAGTCCCTACCTTAGTGTCAGACCCGATTATCTGACCCAATAGGCAGCGAAAAGCAGTCTGGTTCGGAAATGCGACTGTAGCGCCTGCTGGGATCTGTCTGAGGATAACCACACACAGCAGAAAAATAATAAGATGAAGGCATGTGATGATTCACCGTTGTAGACCTACGCACCAGCGAGCACGGTCAACGAAAGTAGGAATTAGTTGGACTGCATTTTACTGACCAGGAACTCTTTGGGGAACGTGGCGCGTGATGGCACGTAGGGTGCTGTGTCTCATGTTATGGAAAACGCGCAGCACTCCTGCATCGCGTAAACTGACCTATGATTGTAACTCTCAAGCAGCACCAATGTCACGTGGAACACAAGTGGAACCATAACTAGTGGTTCCGAGGTCCAACAAACGAGTGGCCCGTCACCTCACCCCAACAGCACCAATCAGAGAAACGGGCACGTGACGCATTAACCATATAACGGTGATCGCTTCATCGGAAGGGTAGGTGGGATTTTACCACGTTCGATCCGCTAATACAGAGACGGACTGTTGTGACCGGATCTTGTGATCCATGGTCATTCAGGTCACGCAGGTGACGACATGGGAGCGTGATGTAAGTAACGGGCGTTCATCAGTAAGCAAAGTAGATCCTGGACCTCTGAAGATTCCCAGGTGATCCAGATTTGCCATCGACTCAAACGTTGAGCTGCAGTTTGTGCATGCTCATTTACTCATGGCGCATCTAAGAGTGCTTATCGGATAAGCATCATCAATACAATTTAACTAAAGTTGAGAAACACAAGTTAGCCAATGTGCCGCAATAGACAGATATGTTAGATGAAACAAGGGAGATACAATACGGTAAGGAAAAATTAGATAATCAAAAAAGGAATATAGCGCTTAGCATCATTTGACGTATCATGTGTGGGAACGTGGTTGCAGTGGGAAGATAAGCAATTGAGTTCAGCGCTTCGCTATGTACAACAAGTGTGCTCAGGCAAACGCGTTTATCATCCTTCAAACTCCAACTCGGAAGTAGGGATAGACTATGCTCGAAGTGAGGAGTATCTTACCCTTTGACCAAATTAAAGCTTGGCCTTCCCGACTCTTATTCCATGCACACCCCCGTCGTCCAAACAACGCACGCTGAGGGTCGGCGTGCTGGCGTGCGCAACACGTGGCCAAGCTATCGGGGCCTCGTTTGAGATATAACGGTGTTGAGCGGATCACCCGTTCTCCCTGCACCAAATAAACAATGCAAAACACGGCCAATGCGCACGTGCTGCTCCCCCGAGACGTCATTTAAGCTATGAAGGTAGCGATGGCCGAAAGGAAAGTAGCCACTATAGATCTAATGATCTAACGGGTCCGACTTCGCAGCCGTACAGTAAGATTGAACGTATTGCTGTGTTGGCAACGTCACCTTTTCCAATAAGAGTGATGCCGCTCCGGCAGCATAGATGGTACAAATTGGTAAACGCACCACGAAGTTATGCTGTACTACTCGAGGCCGCAGACGCCAAAATAGCGGCCAAAATAGTTGAATTTCCAAATGAACCATAGTTGGTAATCACCAACAGAAATGAAGAAGTGGGTCCTTGTCAATTCTAGAGGATTTTGTAATCCTCAAGTGCAAAACATAGCCCGAAAAATTTGACAGCCAGAGCTAATTTATCCAGTGCTGCTGGGCACGTATGGGACCAGTCACAGAGTGGGGCAATATCCTCGGTGTAATCAAAGTCGAAAAGTCGGGCGTATAGGTACCAAACCACTTAATTGGTGTATAATAAAGGCCTCGGCTGGAGCGTCTCGGCGCCCTGATTGGGGTCCCAAAGACGATAAACATGTTCGGCTGGATACACCTGCTGACATGGCTAGGAGCCGACTCCAATGGCATACGTGCTGTGAGTTTCTTTGTCCCTCCCCATCCCTCTTAGCCTCCTGCCCCAACAACGATTACACTACTTAGCCAAATATAATTTTGCACAATAGATTACTTTTTGCTGCATAGTAACCGGCTGGCAGCTTACCGGAACGATGCCCATCCGTTACCGGTAGCTCAGTTGGCTCGCATTTGCTGCACATTTTCCCTTTTTTCATGTATGTATTGCGGCACAGTAGCTGAGGTGATTTCCACCTCCAGCTAACGTGTATAATGATGATGAGGAGGAGGGTCCTAGGTATGCAGTTTACATTACTTCGTCAATGGCGAAGTTAAAAATGAAGGACGACACCCAGTAAAGTCGTCTCACACGGCTGGAGATATAGTATGGCGGTGACACATTGGTATAAACCCTCACCCTGGACGAAATATGTGTGACAAAGCTGTGGTAATATTTACGTACTACACTAGCACACCTTTCCTGAGAAGGCAGACCCAGAGGGCATATCGGTCAATCGAAATGAAAGAACGTTTGATGTCTAGGAACATGAATACGGTGGGTCGCTAATGGAAATGGAAGTGATCCACCAATTGGCACAAGGTAAATCTGCGGTCAAATCCGGCTTGAGCTTCGCGAGTCTGACTTTCAAGGGCGCCAGATAGTAAATTGAGGACAGCAGAGGCAACCGAAATCAAATAAGAATATCGGAAGACGAATGTTATGGGATGACACTATCATTTCGTGCATTCACATCGGCCCCGGACATATAAATCACACAGAAACAAAATGACATCACATCTAACCAAAGGTTGGTCAACAAGTGCAGCACTACTAGTGAGTAACATAGTGAAATGAGCAGGCGCGATGAAACCAGCGAATAATGGATCACCGCGCACGACGCGCATAACTCAACCAGCCATGGAAACGGATGATGCTGGCGTTTAAGAAATATGCCACATCGGCACGGAAAGCTGAGTCGATAGCACAAAGCGAAGCGTAGAATCAAATAGCACCACGAATGAACTGCGCATTCTATGCTAAAAAGTTAGTTTCCTCCGGTA